TTGTTGGCGCATTTTCACTATCGTCAGAAACCTAATGACCCAGCTCTATATCATAATTAGTAATGAGTCCAACGGAGGAGCTCCTAGTGTAGTAGGAGGCATTGATGATAACAGATACTCCCTCTGTGCTAAAAAATGAAATCGTTTTGGACAAGGTTTGGGTCAAACATGGGAAATATAAACCATGAATAACTTTTAAGTTGTTGAGTTTGGAAATGTGAAAATCATATGAATAGATTTGTCTTGAAAAATACTTTCATAAAAATATACATATATCACTTTTCGATAAATATTTTTTATAAAAATAAGAAGTCAAAGTTATACTTTGGAGACTGTGTCACTGTCCAAAACGACTTTATTTTTTAGTATGGAGGGAGTACATGTTTAGTAGTTGCAATTACGGCTTAACATGGTAGTTGGCTTGGCTTGGGATTGGGGAAAGAAAACAATGACAAATATGGAGAGAAATTGTGGAAGGAGTAATAAATTGCAAGATGACCTTGGTCTACGTGTAGCCCTTATGATATACTGTTCACCCACCTGCCAAGTTTTTGAACTTAGATGAGCAATTTAAGAGACGATGATGTATCTAACTGCACCCACTTGCCAAGTTCCTGAACTTAAATGAGCAATTAGTTGCAAGTTGTTGATGAATATTATATATAAAACTTATTTATTATTAGAGCCTCGATCAGCTGATGGTCCAACTAATTAAATCGTGAACTAAAATCTTCATCAGTTTGCCATCTAATCTAATCAAAATAAATGTATCTCCAAGTTGTAGGCATACACAACTCCAATCCTCGACGAGGGTTGCCATATGGAAATTGAGAAAGAGGTCTCCAACAATAACTTACTTCTTGCTGACTTTAATCAAATATTAGAATTGTGTATTTTTATGGGTTCCAAAGAAATCACAAAACTCAATATCTTACTCTACCAACACATACATAGTACGAAAAGCAAAATTATGATATTTACAGGTACGGCCCCGTTTTGCACGGCTTCTGCACCGGCTTCAGAAGTTGTTCGCCTGCCAGCCTAGCCGGACAACATGGGAGGGAGCGCGCCGGGCCACTGGTATCGTGAGTGCGGCCATAGAGAGGGCGCGAGGGCCGCCAACATCAGTGAGTGTGATGGAGATGGCAAGGTGCCACGGCCTAGGTAACGGCGGGCGGCCACCGGATGAGAGAGAGGCCACGGGGAAGAGAAGGAGATGAAAAAATAGAAGGGAAAGTGTAACACCCCAGGCACCACAAAGCCCAAGATGTCACTGACGTCTCTTCCCTGAAGCCAAAGTCTAAAACTTGGCCACATAAACCCATGAACCAAGTAAAACGGGGAAGCAACAACAAGACAAAACTATGGTTAAAAAAGGTTCCACCTCCGTTAATATTATTAAACCACAAAGGGTCATCATGATTGATAAACTAATTTTATTACATCAAGACAAACATATCATTATTATCTCTATGTGTGGGTGAATCAGTGAAGATGTGCCGTTAATCCCCTTCCCTTCCATGCAAGCATCAAGTACCTGGGTTGAGTAATGCAAGAGTGAGATTAAACATCTCAACAAGCAAATTTGTTTTGACAAGCTATTTAAACCACAATTTTAAATACTTTTATGCACTAAGTGAATTAACTCAGATATTTAGTTTAGTCCATCAAAGTGAACCACCTAAGACTCACTCATCATTCCATGTGTGTTTCAAAACCCGAAAATTTGTTTTGCTAATTACTCTTAGGCATTAACCTAGGTGCTAAGCAAGCTCGTAGCACCCGAGGTGTTACAGGGAAGCTCGCTCATCACCGGAGTTGTCGAGATCGCTGAGTGACGCAAGTAAGGCGTGTTGCTAAGCCTTGGCCTTCTTTAGAAACCTCTTCTTGAGCGCCTCCTTGTCAAATCCTCCCTTGGACTTGTGGTTGTCTGAGGAGTGCTCCCGCTTCTGTTTGCACTTGCCGACATCATACTTGTTGGAGGGGTACTTGCTTTTCTTGGGGCAGTTGGCAATGAAATGGTCCGGGTCTACGCAACCAATGTATCCTTGGCTCGAGCCACCACGCCAGCAATTCAAGCGATTGTTGTGATATCGCGAGAACCGGCTGATGACTAGAGCCAGCTCGTCGTCTCCATGCACCTCCATGTGCTCCTCTGTGATAGACAACAAGGAAGACAACGCAAAGAGAGGTTGTGAAGGGTTAGTGAAGGAACTTCAGCTACCGTTACCTGAGACCAATGCCATGGTAGGCGTAGAGGGGTTCTCCATCTTGGCTCTAGTGTTGATGTCGATGTCAGTAGACTTAAACTTACTGAAGAGCTCCTCCACGGTGAGTGTCTCGTAGTTGGGCGACTCAGTGATGGTAGCAACTTTCACCTCCCAAACCTTCCGATCAAGGGCATGGAACGATTTGATTGCCCCCTCATGATCATCATAAGGTAGTTGCACTCGATTTGCTCTCATTTTGTTCACAATCGTCTGAAAACGAGAGAACAAAACATCGACAGACTCTCCACTCATTTGGGCAAAGTTTTCATACTCATGTCTATACGTGTCGAAGAGTATGGTTTTGATTTGGGTTGTACCCTCGTGGTAGCTAAGAAGATTACCCCAGATCTCTCGAGCCGTAGAGAGGTGAGAAACACGATCAAACTCAGTGGGAGAAAGACACGAGAAAATAGCATTACGAGCCCTGCTATTTGCGTTGTGTTGATCAATTTGCTCCTGACCAACACGCGCAGCAAGAACCTCATAGTTGGGATCCTCACAAATCTCCTAGACATGCAAATCCAAACTCTAGAGATATGCAGACATGCGGATCTTCCAATAAGCATAGTTTGTACCGTCGAAGTACGGCGGCTTGCTGGAACCGTGCTCCATGTCGCCTTCGCGGATCACGGACCGATTAAGGTAGAATGATGCTTAACCGGTTCCGATACCAATGACCGGAACGGCAACCAAACGGGGGTGAATAAGAGCCTCAAATTTCTTTCAAAAACTTGGGCCGCTGTCCTAAAATCAAACCCCAAAGCCAAACACACGGGAGAGGAGAAATCCACGAGCCAACTAGGTGGCTGGATGTCTATTGCGATGACCAAAAGACACTACAGGACCCTCGAGAAATGACCAAGCAAAGCCCTCGACGAAACACCTCAAAGCCGAGAAGACTGAACAGGGCCGGACTGTCTGCTGTCACAGCGCGGACTGTCCATGGCAAGGGGGCTGGACTGTCCGCTGGCCAAACTAAAATAACATAAGATGAGAAACAGTTATGTCCAAGGCGATGCAGCAGCAGCGGACTGTCCGCGGTCAAGGCCCGGACTGTTCGTGTCTTAGGGGCGGACTGTCCACGCCTATGCTGAAGCGAAATAGTACAGGCACCGAACTTGGCTGTTCCCGACCCCGACTGCCGGACTGTCCGCGGTCCGGGGCGCGGACTGTCCACGGTCTACGGGACAGAAGTCCCAAAAATCACCAAGAACACAAATTTGCCCGATTTGTGAACCAAATCAAAACCAACTGCCACCAAAATTGAACGAAGGTATCGCAAGGCAGTAGGGAAACTACTCCTAAGATATCATCGCTTAAAGATTTGTTGATCGATGGGAAATTTGGATCTTGCAAAAAAAAGCTGGATTTTCAACTCCGAAAAATGAATTGCCCCGATCTTTGAACTCGTGAGGTTTCAGATAAATTCCTTCAGTGGAAAGATTCAACTCACGTCCTAGTTCATTCTAAAACAATCGGTTTGACCAAAAATGCCCCACAACTCAAGATTCGTGCAAGAAAGTGAGAAGGGGGTTGTGGGAGAAGAACATGAATGGGAATTGCACAAACGATTCAAACCTGGAATCCCGGAGGGCACGAGGAGGTTAGGGCCTCCATTCCCGCACAAATCTTTGGTTCAATTACATGGATGAAGTGGCTAGTTCATCCGAGGACCTCTGGAACTCTAGGGAGAGGGAGAGAGAGCCTAGAGATGAAGAAATGAAATGGCAAGAGGTGAGGGTGATTGGGGCACCCTCATCCTTATTTAACAGACCTATTACACAGTTCCCAAACTGCCCCTGGATAAATAGAGTGAACCACCTACCCTAAGGCATTATGGTCCCACTCTGTCTTCTGTCGATCGGACAGCCACGCTTCCTGCACAGATTTGCTTCGCCTCGACACAACCTCTGTGATTCCACCATGTGCCGCCCCGTTCCTCCTCGGAACCTCCGCCCGGGTTTTGAGGCCCAAACCCAAAAACCGTCCACCGGTGGTTTTGCGGCCCAATTCACCAAACCTGCTCGCGAGTAGCGTACTCCATACGCGTCCCCCGCTCCTCGACATGTGTCACCGCCATCCTCGACCACCTGGCCGCCAAGTCTTCCAGAGCCTCCGCTCGACTTGCACGTCCGCCGTCTTGACTCAGTCAACACGATCACTCCTCCATGTACACTTGCGCTTGTCGATGTCCCCAAGTGTTAGCCACTGTAGCTAGTCCTCTGGCGCTCCAGTCCGTCAGTCCAAGACTCACGTCCGCCCTTCACCGCTCCCGGTCCATCGTCATGGCCCGTCTCTACTTGACCTTCACCTCGTCATCGACCACCGCCTCTGAGCTCCACACCTGCGCACCACAAGCCAAGGGACATGTTGCACAACCCAACTCATGCCATGGTTAGTTCACCAACTTAACCCAAGATGCGAATCACGTTGACAATCACTCATCACACAAGACCACATGGGCACATATCAACCATGTGTCCGCATTTGTACTTGAGTTATGACCAGCTGCCACAAAACTTGAAGGAATGTTTTCTGTATTGTGCTTTATATCCTGAAGATTGGTCAATGCAACGTGATCATCTTGTTATGTCTTGGGTTGCTGAAGGCTTTATAGAGAAGAAAGAGAACCAGCTAATGGAAGACACAGCAGAAGAGTACTACTATGAGTTGATATCAAGGAACCTCCTCATACCAGATCATGTCTATGTTGACCAATAGTGGTGCAAAATGCATGATCTATTAAGGCAGCTTGCCCATCATTTATCAAAGGAGGATTGTTTACTCGGAGACCCACAATTGCTGGAAAGTACAATTGTATCTAAACTACGACGTGTGTCATTTGTAACAGACAAGGAAATGGTTGTTTTGCCAAGTGTGGATAATCAACAACTCAAAGTGAGAACTATAATGAGTTTTTGTGGCAAGTCACTAACAATTGAACCTTCAATGTTCAAAAGGTTTCTGTATGTTCATGTTTTGGATCTCAGCAGGTCAAATATGAAAACAATTCCAAAGAGTATTGGAAGTTTGATTCATCTACGTTTGTTTGATATTCAGAGTACTAGTATAACTTGCCTTCCAGAGTCCATTGGTTCATTAAAAAATCTTCAGGTATTGAACTTGCAGCATTGTGGCGATTTGCACAACCTTCCATTAACAGTCACTCGATTATGTAGTCTAAGGCGTCTAGGTCTTAATAACACACCAATAAACCAAGTTCCAAAAGGAATAGGCAGATTAAAGTCTCTCAGTGATTTGGGAGGATTTCCTATTGGTGGTGGCAATGCTAATAGTGCTAGAATGCAAGATGGATGGAACCTGGAAGAGTTGGGCCCTCTGATGCTGTTGAGGAGCCTTGAATTGATTAATCTGGATAGAGCAGGTCCTTGTAGTACTGATTCGCTATTAATAAACAAAAGGTATCTCAAAAGGTTATCTCTATGGTGCACTGAAAGTACAGACGAACCATATTTTGAAGGTGTCGTAATCAATATTGAGAAGACTTTTGATTTGCTAATCCCTACGCACAACTTGGAGGATCTCAGTTTTTGTAATTTCTTTGGTCGGAGGTTTGCTACCTGGCTAGGCACTGCTGCCCATTTGCCTTCACTGACATATTTGAACCTCATTGATTGCAAATCATGTTTGCATCTTCCACCAATCGGTCAGCTCCCCAACTTGAAATATCTACAAATCAAGGGAGCCCCTGCCGTCACCAAGATTGGACTCGAATTTGTTGGCTATGGCGTGGGTAATCTCAGATCTACGGAGGCAGTAGCTTTCCCCAAGCTTGAAACCTTGATCATCAGGGATATGCCCAACTGGGAGGAGTGGTCCTTTGTTGCTGAAGAAGAAGAACAAGAAGCAACACCAGCAGGTAAGGAAAGGGTAGAGGATGAGGCTGCTGCAAATCAAAAGGAGGACGCCCAACCTCCAAGGACGCAGCTGCTGCCACGACTGAAGAAGATGGAGCTTGACCGCTGCCCCAAGCTGAGAGCTCTCCCACAGCAGCTTGGACAGCAGGCCACCAGCTTGAAGGAGCTGAGAACCTCTGTTTCCTCTCAGAGGTCCTTGTAATCACATATTGTGGAGGTCTAGAGAGGGTCTCAAATCTTCCCCAAGTGAGACTGCTGCGTGTACAGCGGTGCCCCAACTTGAGGTGTGTTGAGAGATTGGACAACTTGCACCAGCTGTTCCGGACAGAGGATATGGAAGGTGCCTCCTCATCACGGTGGCTTCCTGGGCTCCAAGAGCAGCACCGACAGCTGCTGCACGGAGAGGACCTGGATGTTTACACTGGGGTATGGTGAACACGTTTTGAGATTCCCAATCAAATGGCTATGAAGATGTAAAGTATGACCATTGGCTAGAATTTATAATTTTGTGTCATGTTTATCTGCTCTGCTTTTAGTTAATTACCGGTGCCCTGTTTCTTTTCTCTTTCAGGCGTTGAGCATGAAGTGACTACAGCCTTATGTCATTAATATTGTGGTGTGGGAGATTATCCATCAGATGTCTACACCTAGACGTCTGGACCAAGCTGGGCAGGACAGGGCAGGCAAGCTAGCCAATCTCAATCCTGGAAGTGGCAAGCTGATGCAGGGAGTGGCAGATTGTTGTTCTCTGGTTCACAAAGAAGGACAAGGTGCCTGGCTGATGAAGAGCCTACACATGAACCGATGGACGTCTGGATTAGGCTGGGCAAGAGCAGGACATGGGCAGGCAGGCTAATGCACGGAGTCGTAGAATGGTGTGCTCTGCTTGTAGAAGGAGAAGGTGCCTGGCTGACGAAGAGCCACAATAACCAGTGTTATTGTACTCGACTCTTTCAGTTTTTGTGAACTTCTTGTCGTCGTGCCAATAACTACATCTGTTGTTTGGTATGAGCGTAAATTTTGATGTTTATATATGTGAAGTGTGCTCGTGAATTCTGAGCACAACCCTGTTTACATGATGACAGCGTGGATGTTGCCATGATGAATTTTTGTCAGTCATCATTGCCTGCACCTGTGAAAGGCAAACAGGAAAAACAAAGAGTGCAAGGCGCATCTTGTTTCAGGAATTCTCTGTGGATAAAATCGTTTACATGATCAAACATTCATTTCAAGTGACAAGTTTGGATTGTTGAACTAAATTGAAGCAACCTCATAGTTTTGCCCCCTGCTGAGGCGTTTACCGTGTACATGACCTCAAAATATTTGAAGCACGCTATCAAGGCCCTCCTGTCCTGCTGGACGCGTCGATTCCTCGTGGCTCGTTCCGTGGAGCGCGCCGAGGCAGAGGTCTAATTCGGCGTCGTATTTCTGTGCAAGCGCAACTCTGCTTTCCACCAACAACTCTGCTGACGGTAGACGAACTGCAGAGAGGCCCAAGTTGCAAGTTCTACTGATTGTAATTGTAGTGAGATGCTTTCTGTACAGTAATAAGTACAGTCACATTTAATTTAATGGATTGAAACGAATCAGTGATACTGTTTTAACGGAATGCTGCGTCTTGGGCTCTTGGCGACCTAGACCCTGGGTGTCCTTGGTCACTGGGCAGGCCCTTCGTTTACTGATTTGCATTGCATGTCCGTAGACCGTCGATGTGGTCACGGCCCCCATCGACATGGTCATCGTGGATATTAAAAGCTTTGGTTCGGAACCAAGGCCCTTCTGACCGGCCATCTCCTTTTCTACCGGCGTCCACGCGCATTCCATTGTTTTAGTAAAATGGTGATTCGCGTCTTGGAGAATGGGTGGTGCGTGATGATACGGAGGATTCTATACTGTTGGCTGTAGCCTTGCAGGTTGCAGCTGCGTGCGTGCAACCTTTTCTGATCAATAGCAGGGAACATAATAATTGTTTACAGCCATAGCACCGTGCTCAGAAACAATGGCAACATCATCTTGCTGTTCATAGAGGCAGTGAGTCTCCTCCTGTTTAATTCCGGCAGTGAGTCTCCTCCTGTTTAATTCCTTTCTGTTCTGAGTTTGTACTATAATTGATTTTTCCGAGTTCTGACGATAATTGATTTTTTATCGTATTTGAAGGCTCGCAAAATAATTCTGGGGATATGGCCTTAACCTTTGAGCATGATATATTTCCCGAAATCAGGTGAGGAACCTCTGTGTTTTAGAGCTGATATTGTAACAAAAGGGCAGGATTAAGGTGCTACAAAAGCTTAAGGTCGCAGGCTCTCAGCTCGATCACGAAGTGGGCCCTTTTGAGCCCTGTGATGTGTTTCTCGGGGTGTATGCTTGAATTGGTTGTCTTCGCAGGCGGGAGTCAATTAAATGAGAAACTACGGGTGTGTTTGGTTGCAAGGATTATCAGGGACAGGACGGGGTGAACAAAGTTTAGTATGTGTTTGGTTCTAGGGCGACCAGGGAGTCTCCACGTTAATTCTCATCGGACACGCTAGGAAAATAAGATAATGCTAGAAATGCTAACATTAATTAGAAACATCTAGCCATCAAGCAATGACTGAATTGCTGGTGTCAATGTCGACTGATCAGGAACACTAGTATCAGGCCTGTCCACCGAGTCAATGTGCAAGAGTAATTGCTGTGGCTGTGAGGTTTGCAGGCCCTGTAGAACAGTGATCTGACCTTGATAAGGAATAGCTATCCATTGTTCCTGCCAATGAACTTGCATCGGGCTGTAAGCAGCCAACCAATCCATACCCACGACAACATCAAGGGAACCCAGGGGTAGCACCCTAAAGTCAGACTGAAATGTACATGCAGCCACTGACTAAGGGACTTGGAGTAAAATAGCCACACTGATGAGCTTGGCACCCCCAGCAACCTGAACAGCATTGCAGATTGGCAGACTAAATGTTGTGCAATTGAGGAACAACTGATGCATTAACAAATGATGCTGAACTGCCTGAGTCCACCAATATAGTGACAAGAATAGACTGCAGAAAGCCTTGAAGACATATAGTGCGAGATGCTGGCACACCAGATATTGCGGACATGGATAGAGCCAAACATAGCTGCTCAGTAGCTATGAAGTCCTCTGCTGAATCAGCCAAATAATCCTATGATGAAAATGATTCCCACAAAGCTTCAACAGCATGTAGTACCTCCGTCGCGTAGACGCAAAGCACGTCGATAAGCTTTCACTGCAGCCAGAGTCTGATGTGTAGGAGTTGCAGCAGAGGTCGATGCGTGCTTGTCAGCACGTGGTGGCGGCGGAGGCAGAGGCAGTGGTGCGGCTGCCGGGGGACGGGGCTTCAACGCCAAAGACCAATCACCTCCCCGCGGTGCACAATGCGAGGCGACAAGCAGTATCGAAGTTTTTTGGACGTTGTACGAGCACAATGGACTTAATATCATGACGAAGCCCATCGATGAAACGGGTAGTGAAAAAGAGGGGGTTGGAATTTGGAGAATAGGCTGTCAGCTGATCAACCAGTTCGGAAAAGGTAGTGACGTAATCAGAAACTGAAGTTTGTTGCTGGACATTGAACAGTTTGTGGAGAATGGACTCATGCTGATCACGATCGAAACGGTCGTGCAGCAAGTGACAAAAGGAATCCCAAGTTGCCGTGGGCAACCGAGATGACATAGATTGATACCAAATGGAGGCAGCGCCTTCCATGTAGTGCTCGACCAAACTGATCCAAAGGGACGAATCAACCTCAAACATTGCAAAATATTTTTCGCAGGGAGAACGCCACCGCCTCGGGTTCTCGCCATCCAATTTTGGGAATGGAAGCTTAGGGAGATGGGCAGTTGGTGGATTGGGTTGGTGATGATCCGGAGGAGGTGGAAGATTTGGTGGAGGATGGTGAATTGGAGTAGGCAGAGGGCACGGGGGAATAAACTTAGGTGGTGGACGAAAATCAATTGGTGGAAGGTGGGGTGGAGGATGGTGAACGGGTTCAGGCATAGGACGCGGAGGAATCATCACAGGCGGGGGGGTGGCGGAAATTAGATGCATGAACGGGAGAAGGATGTTCAGGAAACGTACCATTGGACGGGACATGGGGTCCAAGTCGTGACGGCTCCGGACCCAACATCCTGTGGAATCAAGTCGACGCAGTGCCCATTGAGCGGGTTGGCGGTAGGACCGGCAGAGGAGTGCACGGGCGTCGGTGGTGGTGAAGGAAACAGTCCCGGCCGGTGAGACATTTCGTCGAACGTGTTGCGGTTGAGGTTCTTCACCAGCTTCTGAACGTCCTTCTAGATGTCATCCAGTACGCCCTCTATGCCCAGTGGCCATGCCGCGAGATCCGTAGTTGCTGTCTCGAGCGCCGCCACATGCGCGTCACACTCATCCTTGATGGCGGCGACGCGGACAACCTCTAGATTGGCGAGGCGCTGTGTGTAGTCGGCGTGGCTTGGTTCGAGGGTGGAGAGGCGCTGCTCAACGGAGGCAGCCACCGGATCCGGGTGGAGCGACTCGATCCCTGCCAGACGACGCTCGATCACATCGGCCGAAGCAGCATGCGAAGCGTCCAAAGTGACGAATCGGGAGTCGACGGCGGCATTGCGGTCTGCGAACTCGTCGAAGCGGGAGTTCAGCGCGTCGAGGACGAGCTGCAGTAGGGGTCCATCACACCGCGAGTGCGATTGAGATGGGTATAGTGGTAGTGAGGAGGAGGAGGAGGTGGAGGAGAAGGAAGGGCTAGGATTGAGGAACGAGACGTCCGTTACCAATTGTTAGAGATAGCAGATCGAGATCGGAGGTAGAAGAAGGTAGCAGGGAGAACCAGAGGAATTTGAATTCAGAAGAGTAAATATTACAGAGTATAGAGATACAATTTCCATTTATGTCTCTCCTCTCCGGTTCCTCTCCTACATATATTGCTCATACTCAGTTGATCCACGATGGGCCGACGAAGCGGAAACTGGGCTTACGGTCCCTCTTGGGCCTTGTCGAGGGCGAGCCAGGAGGCGAGCCTGAAGACGACGCCTGAACACCTGGAGCCGGACTTGAGTTGCTAACAGCCTGCACCTGTGAAAGCAAACATAAAAAACAAAGATTACAGGGCGCATTTTGTTTCAGAAATTCTCTGTGGATAAAATGTTTATATGATCAAACATTCATTTCAAATTTGGATTGTTGAATAAAATCGAAGCAATCTCTTAGTTTTGCCCTGGCTGAGGCGTTTTACCATGTGCATGACCTCAAATATTTCAAGCACGCTATCATCTGTGAGCTGATCACAGTAGGAGGCCCTTGCCTTCATGTTGGTGACATAGTTTTGAGATGTTTTCACGGAGAATGCTGGTAGCTTGTCCTCTGGTAGACATATTTTTATATCACCTATAGTCACCATCTAGATGGATCGGCCGGCCCTTGTAATTTACAGTCATGCGACTTGCATAGATCGATGACTAACAGCGACATCTTTTCAATAATACAATTTGCTTACTAACTTATTTTCGGGGCCTTGGACTCTCGGTGGTATCGGCAGACTGCTTTTATTAGGATTACTAAATTAATTAATTCCAACAATCTGCCAATTGGCTGCTCCTTTACTTAGTTTACGAGGTGCTCAGCCAAAACCACCGGCCGGATTAAAATGTGTATTTGTACACCATGCTTTGTAGTCTACGTGTGTCTTTTATGCCAGTACTCATCACATTATTCGTTTGATATAACCTAGAGAAAGCGTGTTGCTGCTGATTGCTAGGCTGGTAGCTCTCCAGATTTCATCCATTAGCTCTTCTTTGCACTGCTGAAAGTCTGCAAAGGTCCATGGCCTCCAGCTGATGAAGGAAGACTTCTTATATATCGTCCTTTGCCATCTCGTTACACTTGCAGAGATAACAGAAGTGCAGAACATACGAATCAGAGTCTTGTCATCAGGTATATTTAGTTCTAGTATCTCTGAGATCATAGTGATTCTTCTCGCCTACTAAGTGCATATTATTCTAGCTATAGCAATTCAATCAACCAGGTTACCAAGACTTCTTGTCGCAGTGTGATTTATTGGTTTTTCTCTCTCTCGGTGATAGATTGATATGGGTTCAACAACAGGAGAACTCACGGGTTGTGATCTGAACAAACTGCTCCTGCAAAGATGATTGCTACGGATTCTTATTATCAGACTCTTTTCCTTCTTGGTTAAGATTAAAAGGATTCTCTTTACTTATGCAAAGTTGTGCTGAAGAAAGGCACTGTCCACTGAACGGGGAAATATTGGTGAACCTGTAGATACTAATCTACATAAATATTTTCTGCAAGATTTCATTTCCTGCTTCAGAAATTATGCAAATGAGAGGAGGAACGGAAAGCATGATTGAGTAGCCACTGCTGTTTTGGCTTTCAGTGTTTCACTTTCTGACACCTCCCCTGGTTCTCTGCATCCTTTTCAGTTTGGTAAGCAAAACATAAATCAGTTGGCCCATAAAGGTTTCAGACTTCTTCCTATCGTTCTCTCAGTTCATTCCTTTTTTTCTCTCAGACCAAAAGTCGCATAGACACATACTGGTTTACATCCGGATCACTCTGCTGTCAGTTCCTCTAGCTCTCAGATGCACATGGAGTGTTAAATGCTGTGAAAAGCTCCAGGGGATCAAGTTAATCAAGAAACAGTTATGATGTCATTCTTCATTTTCTCCTAAAACATGCCATATTTGCACGTGCTGATCACATAGAGATTGCAGAAGTTTGATGCTTGACAGAGCACCAGTTTCTTTTGGACAACATCCAGTTGGGATCAGGAAAACATGCATCCTGTTACAACCAGTAGCTAACCATATGCAGGTATATCTTTCCCAGTTCTAATATCTCGGATTGACTAGTGGTGTTTACTCTGGAAAAATATATTAAGTCTATTGATTCAATCAAGCTTTCATTCTCTCTACTTTTTACAGTTGTCGTAGTGTGATCAACTGAGACCGAGAGTCCTCTGTTATCTATTCTATATATTTGTTTCTGAAGCTGTGGCCTTAAAATTTCATTGGGCTTACTAAGTGACGATCTTCAAGTAATGATGGGTTGATCATCTGAACAAACTGCTTCTGTGATTCTTATGATCAATCACTTTTCCCAATTGTCTACATTTTCCAAAGATGGGTTGATCATCTTCAAGTAATGACTACATTTTTCTAAGGTAAGAGCTGTAGGCGTGCTTCTGATATTATAAGCTTGCATCCATGATGTTATTGTTTTTGCTGATACATGTTTCCTTCTTTTTGTACAACTGTCGGTACTTATACAGACAAACTGCTTCTGTGATTCTTATTGCCAATCACTTCTAAGATGGCTTTTTCATCTAAAAGGAAATAAAGTGCTTAGGCTTATAAAAGAAAAACAATAAGCCCATGAACTGATATGGCACCAATCCAAACATAAACTATTACCCATGTTTTAGGTCTGCCAACAAGGTTTTGGTATTGCCAAATTGTGGTTTGACTCATGTTAGACTAAAAAGCTAACAGTTAGTCCACATCCCTTTACAAGCTATCTAATTCTTACTTTCACAAATGCTTCTTACAATCTTTATTTAGCACTCATTCGCCGCTTCAGGTACCCGCACGGTTTCTATTTGGACTCCTTCAACTAAATTAGTTTCCTTGCATAGCTGATTGAACTTTCCTTTTCTCCCATGAATATCTCTCCTTTCGCTGCATGTCAGCTTCTTAATCCCTCTCTTTCCTTGCATGAATGCCCATAAATATCTTTGAGTAGTTCATCCTATTTATTAGTTTCTTTGCATGACTTCTGAATTTCATTCCCTGCTAGCCAGGCTCATTATGAAAAAGGGTCTAAGCTAGTCAAGGTCAGGGCAAAAATAGATGACTTCGAAAAATACTTGAGGTTTTGTTGTGTGATGCTAACAAGCATGCCTATGGATGATTCAGAGTTTTTCTTTGAAAGTTTGGATTATTCAGAATTACCATTTCGGTACCTCACCATGCTTCTATATTTTGCAAACATCATAACTGATACAGTTGATGATTTTTATAGTAGTTGGTTGCAAAAGCTACTTCTTGACACCTCAACGCGTGATAGGTATTATGCACAAATTAGGAGATATATGTAGACATTTAGATTTTATTAACTTAAAATATATATGCTGCAAAAGTGACCACAACAAGCCTTTCAAAGATCAAGTTTATTAACTTAACAAAAATTTAGATGGAAAATAAGTGGTTATATCTTTCTTCTCTACTACAAGAACAAACTGTGTGCACCTTGTGCAATTTTAACCCACTTAACATTTGTGTTCATTAATTGGCAGCCTACAGCTCTGCAAGTTTGGCCACTCTAGCTACAAAATAAGTCGCTTTGGGTGCATCTCATTGATTCATTCTGTCTAATTATGGCAACCATACTTGAGCCTATTGTTGGATCATGTGCCAAGAAGTTGCAAGATGTAATAACAGAGAAGGCTGTTATGATTCTAGGGGTAAAAGAAGAACTCAGAGAAATGCAGAGAACAATGAAACAAATACAATGCTTTCTCCATGATGCTGAGCAAAGAAGGACAGAAGAGTCAGCGGTTAACAACTGGCTTGGAGACCTGAAAGATGCAATGTATGAAGCCGATGATATAATTGACTTCGCTAGATTAGAAGGAAGCAAACTGCTAGCAGACCGTCCTTCATCATCTAAAAACATTGCTTCATGTACAGGCTTCTCATTTCTATCTTGCATTCCTAATATTCAAAGACGTCATGCAATTGCCGTTCGAATAAAAAATTTCAATGTTGAACTTGAGAAGATTTCAAAGCTGGGTGAAAGATTTTTGATGCTGAAGAATATGCAACCTAAAGAAGAGAATTCAGTAGTGAGGCAGATGAAAACTTGTGAGCTTGTGGAGCCTAACCTCGTGGGAAAGGAAACTTTTGTTGCTTGCACAAGATTGGTGGAACTGATTCTGGCACATAAAGAAAATAAGTCATACAAGATTGGCATTGTTGGAACAGGAGGTATTGGAAAAACAACTTTGGCTCAAACTGTATACAATCACCAAAAAATAAAAGGCACTTTTAGCATGCAAGCGTGGATTTGTGTTTCTAAAGAGTACTCTGAAGACACTCTTTTGAAAGAACTTCTTCGAAATATTGGTGTAGACTATAAGCAAGATGAAACTGTTGGAGAACTTAGCATAAAACTTGCGACAGCAGTTCAAAATAGAAGTGTATTTATTGTGCTAGATGACATATGGAAACATGATGCATGGACTAATCTACTAAGAAATCCATTAAACACTTCATCTACAACAATAGTTCTTGTGACTACACGTAATGATATTGTGGCACCAGCAATTGGTGTGCAGGATGTTCATCGAGTGGAATTGATGTCTAGTGACACAGGATGGGAGTTGCTGTGGAAAAGTATGAACATTAATGAAGAGACTGAAGTGGCAAACCTAAGGGGTCTGGGGAATGAGATTATCCGTATGCGTGGTGGCCTTCCCCTTGCAATCAAGGTTACTGCTAGTGTTCTAGCAACCAAAGAGAAAACTGAGAACCAGTGGAGAAAACTTATAAACAGAAGTGCTTGGTCCATGAGCAAAGTTCCCATTGAGCTAAGGGGGGCATTGTATTTGAGTTATGACGACCTTCCAGGGCATTTGAAGCAATGCTTTCTATTTTGTTCATTATATCCAGAAGATAGTAGCATGCATCGTGATGATCTTATAAGGTTTTGGGTTGCTGAAGGTTTTGTACAGGAGCAAGGCGAGCAACTTCTTGAGGATATAGCTGATGAATATTACAATGAATTGATATACAGGAATCTCCTTCATCCAAACCCTCGATATGTTGACTATGAATGGTGTAAAATGCATGATCTTTTAAGGCAGCTCGGTCAACATTTGACGCAGGATGATTTTTTTTGTGGAGATACACAATCATTGGAGGCTAAATCTTTGTCCAAACTACGGCACATTTCAATTTTTACTGATACTGATTCTATAACACTCCCCATTGGGAACAAAGAGGATATTAGAGCCCGAACATTGCTTATTAGTTGGACCAAGTCAGCAAGAGTTGAAAATACTTCCATGCATTCGAGTTTTGAATTTATCTGGTTCAATTATACAAAAGGTTCCGGATTCTATTGGGACTTTGATCCACCTTCGGTTACTTGATTTTGATGGGACTGACATATCTTATCTTCCCGAGTCAATTGGTTCTCTCACATACCTTCAAATACTGAACTTGCAGAGGTGTCCAAATTTGCATAGGCTTCCTTTGGCAATCTCAAAATTATGCAATTTAAGACGCCTGGGCCTTGATGGAACACCAATAAACCTGGTTCCAAAAGGGATATGTGAATTGAAGTCTCTCAATGATTTGGGAGGCTTTCCAATAGGTGGTAGCAATGTTAATAGTGATAGAATGCAAGATGGATGAGACCTAGAAGAATTGGATCCCCTTTGGCAGTTGAGAAGGCTTGATATGATCAAACTGGAAAGAGCAGTTCGTCCTAGTAAAGATACATTGCTAGCAAACAAAACACATCTCAGAGTATTATTGCTATGTTGCACTAAACACACACATGAGCCATATTCTGAAGATGTTGTAATCAATATTGAGAAAACCTTTGATTTGCTAATCCCAGGGCACAACTTGGAGGATCTCCGTTTTGTGAATTTCTTTGGTCGGAGGTTTCCCACCTGGCTAGACACTGCTGCCCATTTGCCTTCACTGACATATTTGAACCTCATTGATTGCAAATCATGTTTGCATCTTCCACCAATCGGTCAGCTCTCCAACTTGAAATATCTACAAATCAAGGGAGCCACTGCAGTCACCAAGATTGGACCCGAATTTTGTGGCTATGGGGTGGGTAATCTCAGATCTCCAGAGGCAGTAGCTTTCCCCAAGCTTGAAACATTGGTCATCAGGGATATGCCCAACTGGGAGGAGTGGTCCTTTGTTGCTGAAGAAGAAGAACAAGAAGCAACAACAGCAGGTACGGAAGCGGGAGAGGATGAGGCTGCTGCAAATCAAAAGGAGGAAGCGCCGCCTCCAAGGATGCAGCTGCTGCCACGACTGAAGGAGTTGGAGCTTGACCACTGCCCCAAGTTGAGAGCTCTCCCACAGCAGCTTGGACAGCAGGCCACCAGCTTGAAGGAGCTCCAATTAAGAGAAGTGCACAGCCTTAATGTGGTGGAGAACCTCGGTTTCCTCTCAGAGGTCCTTTTAATCGTAGATTGTGAAGGCCTAGAGAGGGTCTCAAATCTTCCCCAGGTGAGACGGCTGCGTGTACAGCTGTGTCCCAACTTGTGGTGTGTTGAGAGGCTGGACAACTTGCGCCCGCTGTTTCAGACAGACGATATGCAAGGTGTCTCCTCATCACATTGGCTGCCTGGACTCCAAGAGCAGCACCGACAGCTTCACGGAGAAGACATGGATGTCAACATTTGGATATAAACATACAGAATGCCGAATCATATGGATATGAAGATGTAAGCTATGACCATTGGCTGAATTTTCTAATTTGGTTAGATGTTTATCTTCTCTGCTTTTAATTATCCGTGCCGGTTTCCTTTTTTTTTATTGGTCATCAGGCGTTGAGGACGGAAGTGACTAGACGCTAGAGCCTTGTGCAAATAATATCATGGCAGAGGAAATCTTCCATCAGGTGTCTACACATGGATGTCTGGATCATGCTGGGGCTGGGTATCAAGCTGATGCAAGGAGTAGCAGAATGTTGTGCTCTGCTTATCCAGGAAGGAGAAGATGCCTGCCCGCCTGCCCGCCTCATCAAGTAGCGCAATGTTTTTCGTTTTCTTTCCATGTTGTGCGAAGCATTACATATGTTGTTTGGTTTTGCTGCTACGTGAAGTGTGCTCGCGAGTTCTGAGTAGGATCCTTTCTGAAGGACAGCAGCTGTTACTTTGCACTATTTTTTAAGAAAAAACTGTTGCTAAGCTGGATTTTTTTTTCGTTGACTCGTCGCCTGCCCTGTGAAGGGCCCGAAAAAGGAGGCAACGAGGTGCATTTAGTTTGAGGAATGCTCTGTGGATATGTTTCATTTAAACGTATGGTCAAACTTTTTCTTTTGCGGGGAGACCAAACATCCATTTAAAAGTTCGGATTGTTGAATTAAATCAAAGAAACGTCGTCCCTGGTGAGGCGTTTTCCACGTGCATGACCTCAACTTTTTCAAGCACGCTGTTATCCTACGGTGACCTGATCGCCACAGTAGGATCGGAACTCGGAGGCCCTTGTCTTCCATATTGTCCACTGCAGACGTCCTGCAGGCATTGAATCTCAGAATAGTTATATTACCGACCGCCAGTGCATTAGTGAAGGTTGAATTACCAAATCAATGAGACGTTTTGAGAGGTTGTCACGGAGAATGCGTCGTAGTCAATCGCGTTCTACTTGTACACACGGGACATGGCGTGAACGCTCGGCTGTGTGCAAGAACATCTCACGCAGGAGTAGCCCGTCACTTACGCTCGTTCGCCCTGCTGGGCTTCACTCAACAGTTTCGCAAAAAAAAGGAACATATCTCTCTTTGTCTTTTCCATGGGTCCCAAGAATGTCACCGTAGTAGGCACTTGCCTTGCTCTGCTTCTACTCCTATCGTGGCCCTCCTGTCCTGCTCGAGGCGGCGATGGTCCGTCGCTCATTCCCCCAAACAGAGGTCCAAGTCGGCGTCGTGTGTATGGCTGCAGTTCGTGAGAGACAGAAGAGTAAACACTCTCCTGTTCAGTGCAAACGTTGCTCTGTTTTCCACTAGCAACTCTGCTGACGGTAAACAAACAGCAGAGAGGTGTTGCGAGTGCTAGTGTGTGCAACAGGAGTCAGTTCTGGGCGACGCATGATGATGCCAAGCTCAACACTTCACGGAGGATTCTGTCATGTAGCCTTGCGGCTGAGTACGTGCCCATCTGCCGCTAATCGAACTCGATTTCCTTGCAAGCGAATTCGCAGTGCATCGAGGAGGTTAATTCACTTTATTTCTGAAGATGTGCAGAGTCAGATTTTAGGCGTATGTCGACCACCTGTATGTACATGTGCCCCTGCAAAGTTCCACTGTTCTAGGACTGTAGTTAGGCTATTTGAGCACTTCAGCCCCATCTCGACGAGACCCCCCTCATCACAAATTTTTCTAGGCCAGTTAAGGTTGTCTTTTATTCTTGATTGTGATCGGGTTTTTTTTTATCTGACAAAATTGGGGGATTGGGAACAAATAAGCTTTCTTGCATGCGTTTTTCATCAAATCCTCATGCCATCACCAACACATAATTACACAGGTAAAGAATGGCTTGATCAGCAGCTACCAGTAGTTTGAATGATCTCCACCAACCATGGACGGACGACTGACCTCTATTGTTGCCTGGTCCACCGCAGAGTTACTGCATGCGTGTCCAAAAGAAAAGCCATCCACCAGACCAACACTGCCTTGCTCCTCAGCACGAGGCAAATGGAACCGACCAATACAGCCCGCAGCCCCTGCAGTGGAGGAGACCTTGACCGGCGGTGGCCACAGAGACAAGTCTCCGACCGGGCGCCACCCACCGGTGGAACAGAGCGCTAGGTACTAATTATATACGAGTGCACCAGCGCCTCTGTCCATTGAAGGTATACAATATTGTCCTATTGCTCTTTTTATGAAAGGTTGGGCCGCCACCGCACTGGCATGGCAAGCTCGCTCTATCCTAAAAATAATGTAATATACTATTTTGTCAAGACAAATTAAACAATTCCAAGTTTAACCAAATATAAACAAAAAAAACTAATATTTATCATGCATATTAATTATCAGTAAATTAATCATAAAATATACTTTCATAACAAACCTATTTGAAAATACAAATATCTATACTATTTTCTATAAATCTAGTCAAACTTGACATTGTTTGCCTCCTTAAGAAGAGATTTACAGCTTTATTAAGACGGACGGAGCATATCAGAGCTGGCAATGTTGCATGGGAAAAATATTGGTGAATGTATAGGTTGAGCTACATACATATTCCACTGTACCAATCGGTTGGTGCCAATAAGCAGGAAAATATCAAATATATTATCTTGGCGCATTGTGTTTTCACTATCTATTTATTTATATAATAGAAAATTCTGGTTTCAGTCTTCTTCTTCTTAAAAAAGAAGAAGCATCACTCTAAAGTTAAACAAATACACCCATTTCCTATTTTCACTAATGTCATGTTATTTTCTATCAGGCCACCTAAAATAAGTGTGAAGCTGATAAGATAAGTATGAAGCGGTATGTGTTAGTGGGTTTAAGTGTCAGATGCCTACTAACTTTAGGGATACAACATATACTACTACTTTTGTATATATTAAACTAATGTCGATGCCAATAAATAGGCAAAAGATAGACTGACATCTTAGTCTACGGTTTTGGGAAAATTGGCTGTGTAGCATCGAAAGATCGCAATCCTCGTAAAATACCACCAAAAGTTTGCGCCCCCGTAAAATACCACTGAATAGTTGAACCACGAATTGAAAGTAGCATTCTGTTAAAATAAAGTGACGGAGTCGTTATCTGGAAAAAAATAACCCCCCTGACCGGTGATCGCGTGCGCGACGTATGCGGTGGCCGAGGCGTGGCCGGGCCGGAGCTCGCCCACGCGTCGTCGGCGCCGGTGTCAAAGCAGCAGCCGGAAGAGATCAGCCACGCGCAAGCGTACGGATACTGCTGTAGCTTTTCACTCGAGAGTATTCCAAGGTATCGATTTCCACGGGGAACGGAAAGTGTACAAGAAAGCATCAAGGTCGTCCACGAATAGATAAGATGAAATGTTTTTCTGGGTAGAGAGAGGTTTCCTAAGGTTTTCCAAGATAATCTAGATAACTGAGGATCAGGCTTGCTATACTTACTTACTTTGGAGCAACAGTACCTTTCCGACCCTCGAAAGAGGTGAGAAAGAGTAGTCGGGGGAAGGCTGTCAAAAGTTTTACGGAAACACCAATCCGAACGTGGTGGATTACAAAGGCCTCATAGAGCTGTCACCTCTGGGTACCAGACTATCCATGGGATTAGGCGCAAACTCAGGTAAACACTAGCCTAGACACCACGTCTATGCTAACGATTACTACTCTAGTCACGATCTATAACTAGAGCACTCGATGCGAGCGGAGATCCCGTAAGTAAAGTAAAGTAAGAACTGAACTTAATTAAATAGAAAACTTAGAAATACCAAAAGAAGAATCCGGATATTACTCAAAGATGAGTTGACTCTGTAGAGGTATAAACTCGAGGAGGATCCGAAAGACCCGGCTCCACCTCAGCTCTCTCCTATCCTCTCTCCCTATTTTCTCTATTACAAATTGGTGAGAGCCACCTAGAGGGACACTACTACAAAATGCATGAAAGAATGAAGCTCTAGTGTGTGTGGTGTGGGGAGCCTCTCCTCTCCTTTTATAGCACTCCAAGGCCGGTTTCCAGAAGAATATTCCACGGAACCATCCACTAACTGCCTACAGGAAGAAGTAACTACGGGCTGCCACGTGGAGGATGGACGAGAGGCACGTGGCCAGGGGGTCAGGCGACCCCTAGGGTCGGCCGACCCCAGGTAGCACCGTCCCCCAACTGCCTTTGGCTGGCGGGATGTGTGCTGGGCCTGGACCTGGTCCTCTCGTGCTTGAGCCCATGTTTATATGGTAAGTGGCCCTTCTCTATCCTTTCTTGGCCCTTTTTATATTTGCACACATGACCTCTTGTAAAAGAGAAATCAACAAAACTTGTGGAATTCGTTAGTTATAATTCCTGATGCTAAGTTTGGTGTTCATATAAGAGTTTTTATCTGATATTTGGCAGTTGAATTTAGGAGTTAAGGACCGCCAACACGCTGGCCGAGCTTCGTGGCGCAGGTGGGCTCAGCTTGCGGTCGAAGCGCCTCCTACACATTTTGCATTGCTGCATTGTTGTTAGCTTGTTACAGTAGAATCTTAGAACGGCTCGGCTCTGCATTGCTGCACGTTTTGCATTCCATTCCTCTGACGAAACTGAAGCAACATCTCAGATCACAATGGACGCACTGACACCGACGCATGCTTCTCTTCCGCCGCCTTGTGGATGGCTGCCACCTGGTTCCTCATCTTCTCCGCCTACTCTGCCTTCTTCTTCTCGGCCTTGTTGTATGCATAGTTGTGAGTCAAGTGGCAGCACCCAGTCGAGTGGAGGCAGAGCATAGGTCCACACGGAGGCCGGCGGAGGGCGGTGCGTAGGGGCATCCGGCGGCCGGTGGAGGCGGTGCACAGGTGCGGTGGCAGCGCGAGACGCCCACGGTGGCCGGCGGCGGCTGCGCGCTAACGCCGGCGGTGGCTGGTGGAGGCGGTGTCAGGGGCGAGCGAGCGGCAGACCCGAGCGTGGAACCGAGCGCGCCGTGTGCGTGCTTCCTGTCGCGGATGAGTGAGATAGAATAATGCACGGGCAAAAAGGTAATTTCATGTTT